CAAACTCGTCGACCCAGTGGCTTCATCGGATTGAGGAGCATACTTCTGCAGTCAAGGCCCTTGCATGGTGTCCATTCCAAAGCAACTTACTCGCAACCGGTGGAGGCGGTGGTGATCGCTGCATAAAGTTTTGGAATACCCATACTGGCGCATGTTTGAATTCTGTTGATACTGGTTCTCAAGTCTGTGCTCTGCTGTGGAATAAAAATGAGAGAGAGCTGCTCAGCTCTCATGGGTTCTCCCAAAACCAGCTCACGGTTTGGAAATATCCTTCAATGGTGAAGATGGGAGAGCTCACTGGCCATACATCAAGGGTTCTCTTTATGGCGCAGGTAGATATCTTCTCACGTGTTTTTATTAAAATATCATAAATCAGTGTTTGGTGTTAGCAAATGTCATTTTTTCCCACGTTAATATTGATAGTTCATTGTTGGGTTTCTAGTTTCCAAGCCCATAAGTAGTTAGGAGGTGTTATTAAAGCTTGTTGATAAACTTTTGCTGACTGTATTGTGTTGTGTGATGTTTCTGCAGAGTCCAGATGGGTGCACTGTAGCTACAGCAGCAGCAGATGAAACATTAAGATTCTGGAATGTTTTTGGGACTCCAGAAGTTGCTAAACCTGCTTCAAAATCCTATAATACGGAGCCCTTTGCTAACGTCAACCGCATTAGATAAATTATGTGTATGTACATAACTTAATATTTTCTTGTTTATATACATTACAACTAGGGAAGGCCTGTGATTGGGTCGATAAAGAATTATGGTTACAACATTTTGTTGTGTTTCTTATGACATAAGAGATCCATATAGAGTATTTGAAATCCAATCTTTACGAATAAATATACCTGAAATTTTGTGATGAATTATTTGTACTACAGTACTAGCTGATTCTTTTTAGTATGTATCAGACCCTGTTATTAACATAATACTATCGTTGATCTCTACATTTCAGTGACATTTTACCTAATGTAATCTTATCTAATTGTTCTTGTAGTCTCTTTTCCTCTTGTCCTCTGTCTTGTCTTCTGACGTTGTAAAGGCCGTTCCCTTTTGTATTATGGTCCCTTTTCTTTTCTCACCTTTGTTAAGCTCTGAGTGTAAGTTATCAGTGTCAGGAATAATTTCTCGTGTTTTCAGAAACTTACTCTAGGGTAATAGAACTTTGAGAATTTTTAATTTGGTGGCAGGCTTGCAAAACTAGCAATTAATAAATTGAAAATGAGTTTTGAACCTAAAAGAAAGTTTATTAAATTTGAACTTGAACTAGAATACAGATTGGTGTAATTGTAATGAGTATAAGGATCTCTTAGAAAGGCAACATTGTCATTTCTTAGAAACAATGTGCTTCTAATTCACAAGGTTTTGATTGACTTGCCTCTCTAACCAGCTTCCAAACAATAGAGGACAACAGCATAAGGTTCAGTACAAGGCACGCATTGCAGGGCTCTCCACAAAATCCTAACTTTAAGAATTCCTCTAACTCCATGATCCAAGATGATTTAACAGGTCCAACGTGTTCAAGATCATCAGTTTATCTCATTTATGTTATTTTTTAAACATTCCTGCTAAGCTCCACAACACCATCCCATTATTCTTGCTTCATAATTATTTTAGATATCTTCATACTGATATCTACTTCTATTTTATGCTTGATTTATCTCAGTTTTTGATTTTAGGTTCACTCGAGCAACGTCGACAAGTATTGTCGTTTTGTGGTCAATAAAAGGTAAGTTGTTACAATTGTTATATGGTTACCATGAATAGAGAAGGAAAACTAGCATTTGGTTGTTAATTTCTCAAGCATCCCCCGTTCTTCGCTTTAGAGGGAAACTTTACTGCATGCTCTGTTATTTGATCCCGAATGGGTGGTTAGAGTCCGGCTTTAGAGGGAAACTTTACTCCATGAAAGGTTAGAGGTGCGCGCAAGATGGCCCGAATACATGGATATAAAAAATAAAAAAAAAAACCAGATGGTTTTGAACAGTAATTTACTTCGTATTCTTCAGTTGCTTTGATAACTATATGATGYATTACAAAATTTCCAGTTTTAACTATCATAAAGTCATTTTTACAGTAATGCAACACTCTCTGTTTGTTCATTAATATTAATTATATTAACTTTATTCAGGACCAGAATTGGTGTGTAACCAACCCTATAATCACACTTAAGACCTGTGGTCATTGGGAGTTTTACTGTACTTGGATTCTTGTTGTCCTTGATTTTTGTTCTGTTCATTATGTTCTACTAAGAATTTTGTTCTTACGTTGCATTTGGTTTTTCCTGATTAAATTGAATAGCCCCTGTCATCCAAAGATTTTGTTTTTCTTGTTCAATTTTCCATCTGCTGTTATCCCAGGGAATTGAAAATTGGTGCAAATGATAGAATTAGCCAATTTCAAGTTGTTTCCGTGCTGATTTTGTCGATGCTTATGCAATGTAAAAGGATTTGCAAAGTTGTGGTTAAACTGAATAAAAAACTCTTTTTTGGGGAGAAAGGAACGATAAATTTGTAAGGATATCTCGTGACAGTCCAATGCAGCAGGGTTAGATAGTTACCTGTGAGATTAGTTAAAATATGCATAAACTGGTCTGGAAACTCACGGATATAAAAAATGAAATGAAACTTGTAAAAATAAAAATCCTTTTTCGAGAAGAAGAGGTTTGAATTTGCAAAATGGTTTTCAGCTTCTTGGTTTATTCTTCATTAGATTTCTGAGTTTTTCTGCCAGTGATATTCTTTTGCGGTGGAAGGCTTTTGTTAGTAATTTAGAATTAGGACGCTTCTTTCACCTGATATATAGGTTTGGTTGTGAGGAAAAGGGAAAAAAAAGGGAGAGAAAAGAAGGGGAAGATAAAAAACGTGACAAAGGGAGGAGAAAAAGGAGGGTAAAAAGGGAGAAGGAAGAGAGAGTTAAAAAAAAAAAAAGAATAATATGAAGAAAGGTTTTAAATCGATGAAAATGACAATACGATAAAATGATGATGTTGATGGATATTTGTATAAACATTATAAAAATAAAAAATTCGTAAAAATTACTTAAATTAACAAATATAAGCCTTTTACTATATTTCTAAATAGGTTAGAAATGATTAATATTAATATTATGTTTATATTAACGATATTTTTCATATTTTATTGTTTTTTTGTAATAATATGAAAATGTCAATTTGTACCAATTGATGTCGATATGTCCATAAAATAAGTGTAATTTAAAAATCAATATAATTTGATTTTTATTACAAGGTATAAATGACAAATATATAATATAATTGTCAAAGTAAAAATAACTTAGTGGTAATTGACATATACTTCCAACCATGAGGTTGTGAGTTTGATCTTCCACCCCCACATATTGTACAACATTGTACATCTATAAATGATATCGACCTTTAAACAAAATCCATGATACACGTCTATTAGTGATATACGGATGTAGAAGGTTGAAGAGATATGCTCGGGGATGCCCTCCCATCCTCGTCATTGTGGTAATTTTTAGTTCTCATCTCCCACCTCATTCTCTAATTTCAAGAATCTAGATCCAAGTCAAGAATCCTCGCTTGGAGACGGAGATCATTGTAGAAAATATTACCAATTTAGTAACTCATTTTAAATATTTTTAGAATTTAAAAAATAAAAAAGATTAGTAACTATATATAAATTATATATAAAAAAATTATTATTTACTTGTATAAATTACTAGCTTTAAGAATTATTTAATCAATTTAATACAATAGTTAATAAAATATTTATTATTTGAAAAATGTAATCGAGAAGGGTCGGTGCATGGTGGAAAATGCATTCGGTGCTCAACTCTACGATGGTTTTTGTCATCCCTACATATATAGACAAGAAAAATAAAAGTTTAGAGAGATAAAAAGAAATTTAAGATAGAGTAAATTTAGAGATATAAATAAAAAAATTTAGATAAAAAAAAAGGAAATTGAGCTGAGTAGCTTTTTTAAGGAGTAGAATTGATTTCTACCCAATTTTTTTAAAACTTATGTTCTCTAAGCTCCGGCTCTTATATCATTATGTGAAATTATGTATTTACTCGTCACTTTTTTTTTTAATTTATCTCTTATTTATTTCACTTATTCTTCCCTCCGTTCGAAAATATAAAAACTTAAGTTTTCTAAGCTCTGGCTCTTATATCATTATGTGAAATTATGTATTTACTCGTCACTTTTTTTTAAATTTATCTCTTATTCATTTCTCTTATTCTTCGCTCTGTTCGAAACTATAAAAGGCAAAATTTTAAAGGAAAAAAAATTTAGGCCGGTCAAAATTTAGAGTCATAAAAAAATTTGTTAGATAAGAATATGTGAAACAAAAACAAGATTGATTATTAGAAAGAAAAAAAATGAGATTTTGAAAAAACATAAACATGTTTTTAAAAACTACAGTTTTGTTTAATAAATTTATTAAGAATTTCAAAAAAATAGTTTTTTCAAAACAGAAAACAAAAAATAGGATTTGTTAATGAAAAACTAAAACCCAAAAACTAAAAATAGAAAATGAAATGGTTATCAAAATGATCCCTTAATAATTAGTAATGATGTAATTTTGATTTTTTATAATGTTATTCTATTTGTATATGCTTTATATTTGATTTATCACTCCTATACCATATCAATAGAATTAAGATGATATATTAATAATTACAACTTTCATTTTTTATCTTTGTTTTGTTTGCATGTTCATTTACTACATTGTTTATTACTCATATAATATCAATAAAATGAAAATGATATATCAAGTGTTATACAAGATAAAAAGAAATTACGTAAAAGAATATTTAAATAGGTGCAAAATAATATTAAAAAAATGACCACATTTGCAAATTATTTTTCGTGTGACAAATTTACAAGTATTGCATTCGCCATTCCATTAATTTTTTTTAGTAGCCCATTAATTAACAATTTATTAAATAATTCTTTTTTTTAATCATATAATTCCACCTAATCCAGCGTCATACGACGAGATACTAACGCGCATTGGGGATTCAATTTACAACGGCTCTCGTTTCATAAACTAAAATAAGAAAATGAAAAAAAAAAAAATCTATAACGGCTCTTTAGTAATTCAAAAGAGAGATTCGCTGACCGTTGCAATTTCCACATTTCGAAATTTTTTTCGCCTTATTTTATTTCCCACGCAACTATATAATCTCATTATTGAAAATTTGCATTTCAATTCAACTCTCTCTCTTTCTCTCTCTAACGCAACAGACGCGACGCTCTCTGCAATTCATCGATCACTCTAACTGTGCTCTCATCGATCATTCGACTCCAGTTTTTCTTTTTAGTCATATTTGAGTTCTTGATTTTATTGTCCATATACTATTTCTGTGGATAAGTTTTGCAGGTTTTATTTTTGGGTGCTGCACCATCAATATTTTTATCTTCCTCTGTTTGTTTCGGAATCATTCTTGTGTTTTTGTTTTTGGGAAATTAACGCTATGGATGCAGGATCTATGAGTTATTCGAACGCCAGTCACTCCCGCGGTCCCCTGCAAGACCAGCATCTCCAGAAAAAGCATTCTCAAGAAAATGTAAGCATACGTTCGTAATCGTAGATATCGAAATCAATTGGATGAAGATGAACTATTTTTTATATGAAATTGTTCTGAATCGATGAATTTCTTTGTTTCCACTGCAAATTCAATTTGGGTTCTGACTTTCTGCCGCTTTTTCGCCTTTTTTTTCTGGTAATCTTGAGTTTTAATCATGATGTGAAACTTTTTCTTTTTCTTCTTTCGATTACAGTTGGATAGATTTATTCCGAACCGATCAGCAATGGATTTCGATTATGCACACTATATGGTGACTCAGGGATGCAAAGGTAAGGAAAACCCTTCTTTTAGTTCTCCCTCTAAGGAGGCTTATCAGAAACGGTTAGCAGAGGCATTGAACATGAATCGAACTCGAATCCTCGCGTTCAAGAACAAACCTCCTGCTCCTGTTGATTTGATCCCGAAGGATTTCTTCGCCCCGGCTTCTTGCGATAAACCCGTCAAGGCCCGCCGCCATATCCCCCAGGTGGGTTACAGTTTACGTCTTTGATAATTTTTTTGAATGAGAAAATGAGTAAATTTGGGTGAAGAAATCATCAATTGGGTTCGTTTCCTGATGTTTGAGCTTTATTATGCAGACCTCCGAAAGGACATTGGATGCTCCTGATCTAGTTGATGATTACTACTTGAACTTGTTGGACTGGGGTAGCTGCAATGTGCTTGCAATAGCGCTTGGCAACACCGTGTATTTGTGGAATGCAAACGATGGCTCTACTTCAGAACTCGTAACTGTTGATGATGAAGTTGGTCCAATAACAAGTGTAAATTGGGCACCCGATGGACGGCATATTGCTGTTGGTTTAAACAATTCAGAAGTACAGTTGTGGGATTCGACTGCGAATAGACAGGTTTCTTTCTTAGCCTTGCGTTTTTAAACTACATTTCTTGATTGTGCATGATTCGAATTTTTTGGGTGTTGATGTTATGCAGCTAAGAACTCTGAAAGGTGGACATAGGATGCGGGTAGGTTCTCTAGCATGGAACAGTCACATTCTCACAACGGGAGGAATGGATGGGAAGATCATTAACAATGACGTGAGAATCAGAGACCACATAGTGGAAACCTACAGAGGCCATGACCAAGAGGTCTGTGGACTAAAATGGTCATTATCCGGACAACAATTAGCAAGTGGAGGGAATGACAATGTCCTCCACATATGGGACAGATCRACTGCATCTTCAAACTCGTCGACCCAGTGGCTTCATCGGATTGAGGAGCATACTTCTGCAGTCAAGGCCCTTGCATGGTGTCCATTCCAAAGCAACTTACTCGCARCCGGTGGAGGCGGTGGTGATCGCTGCATAAAGTTTTGGAATACCCATACTGGCGCATGTTTGAATTCTGTTGATACTGGTTCTCAAGTCTGTGCTCTGCTGTGGAATAAAAATGAGAGAGAGCTGCTCAGCTCTCATGGGTTCTCCCAAAACCAGCTCACGGTTTGGAAATATCCTTCAATGGTGAAGATGGGAGAGCTCACTGGCCATACATCAAGGGTTCTCTTTATGGCGCAGGTAGATATCTTCTCACGTGTTTTTATTAAAATATCATAAATCAGTGTTTGGTGTTAGCAAATGTCATTTTTTCCCACGTTAATATTGATAGTTCATTGTTGGGTTTCTAGTTTCCAAGCCCATAAGTAGTTAGGAGGTGTTATTAAAGCTTGTTGATAAACTTTTGCTGACTGTATTGTGTTGTGTGATGTTTCTGCAGAGTCCAGATGGGTGCACTGTAGCTACAGCAGCAGCAGATGAAACATTAAGATTCTGGAATGTTTTTGGGACTCCAGAAGTTGCTAAACCTGCTTCAAAATCCTATAATTCGGAGCCCTTTGCTAACGTAAACCGCATTCGATAAATTTGTGTGTATGTACATTAATATTTTCTTGTTTATATACATTACAACTAGGAAAACCTGTAATTGGGTCGATAAAGAATTACGGTTACAACATTTTGTTGTGTTTCTTATGATATAAGAGATCCATATAAAACTTTACAAATAAATATACCTTAAATTTTGTGATGAATTATTTGTACTACAGTCCCAGCTGATTCTTTTTAAGTATGTATCAGACCTGTTACTATTGTTGATCTCTACCTTTCAGTCACGTTTTAATGTATCTTATCTAATATCTCTAGCTTCCAGTCACGTTGTAAAGGCCAGCCATGGCCGTTCCATTTTGTATTATGGTCCCTTTCTTTTTCTCACCTCTCTTTGGGGTATACATATAATATCTCTAGTTGTACTTATCAGTGTCAGGCATAATTTCTCGTGTTTTCAGAACTTCTAATTTGGTGGCCGGCGCTTGCAAAATTTTTAATTTGAAAATGAGTTTGAACCCAAAAAAAAGTCGATCAAATTTGTACTTGAATGTGTACTATAATCCAAAGTGTGGTAATCCCTTTGATTATGAGTCCTTCTCATCTTTTGATTAGCTTTATCGTGCATTCCGGATGTTTGATAAATCTTTGGCTGCACCTTGTGCTCGAGATTTTTGGAGACAAAAAACACACCAAACGGAAAACAAAAGGGGCTCTGAAATAAGGAAATTCAATTCCATCCAAAAGACATACAAGGATCAGAATAGACTTAATGATGCCTCGTAAAGTCTATGCTTTTGCATTTCTCACTTTTAATTGACGTGGTGAAGACAAACTTGCTCCTTATTGATAAAGAGCTAAGTATTTTCTTATTTTGTGAGCTTTTGCTTAGTAATATCACAATAGATTTGTGTTGTCTCAATTCTTACAATTAAAGATCTCAAAGTCTCATTTTAACTTTTTGCCCATCTCTGCTATGTAATTGTAAGACTATATGGATCTCTAGGATGAAGAAACAAAGTGCTTCTAATTCATAAGGTTCTGATGGACTTGCCTCCCTGATCAGCTTCAAACAATAGAGGCCAACAACATAGGTTCAGTTTCACATTAACTTGATGATATCCCTGGCGAGCACATGGAAAGGATGAGAATGGGAGCATGACCACCCAAGAATGCAAGGAATGAGATCAATGTTTATCGTATTTTCGACATGTACACTTGGTGTTGAAATAGTCTCGTACATTCATACCTACAACACCGCACAAATAATATAAGTAAATAATTGTGATGAGTAAACAAATTTTAAGTATAGTTGCTAGGATAAATTAACTTCGAGGCATATGGAAACCATATAGACGGTACTTTTCAATGCGTCTATTTGGTATGTTGCTAATATATTCTTCGAGGCATTATGGAGGCTCTTAATCATCTTATTGTGAATATCATTGTACACCAGTCAAAATTATAAAAGAAATCCCAATCATCTAGAGTACCTAGGAGGCTAATATCCATAAATTTCTTCTTCTCCTTTCCCATCATGGCATGCCCAGTACAATATACTAATGCTATTTTAAATTTTTAATTGCATCCTTGTCATTATCGACCTTCAAAGCGGTAAACAATTTTTCCAAATCGTAACCAGGTTAAACTCTCTCTGGCTAGTTAAATGACACATTATTTCCCAACAGGTCAAAATCGATGACCTTTGGTCTCGATTCATTAACCTCCCTCAACAATAGGTAGTGGATCAACGAACCATTGAATATGATATATCTATACATCTATATCTATGATGAGGTTGAAACAGGTTGCTTAAAAGATGTAGTTGAGTTGGGGTCAAGTTCTCCTCAACAGTGGAAATGGTTTGCCTAGTTGGTTAACTGGGTAGTGAACGAGTCAATAAGGTTAGTTTTAGTTAACGTTTCTATAATTCCCTAAACGAGAGAAAAATTGAAAAATATAAATAAATAATGTAAAATTTGTTGTAAATAAATATTAAATATAAGAATTTAAACAATAAAAAAATACTGGAGGAGAAAGAAACTAAAAAATAATAATAAATTATTTGTTGCCTTTACTTGTTCTCGGGACTTGTTTTGTTTTTGTTTTTCCCCTCCCTTTTGAGCTGCTTGCTTTTGATTGTACATCAATCTAATACATTGAACTAAAAATAAAACAGGCGAGTCCAAATACATTCGTGTTCACATAAATATTACATATTTTGTTTGATTATCTCACTATACAACCTCTCTCACCTACTTGGATATGGAAACAAAAGCAAAACAAAACACAGCCAAATGCTGAGGAATAACAAATTTCCATATTCCATTCTCTAGCCTACTGACAGACACAGCAAGTACTTTCATATCTTCACAGGTTCACCAACTCAAAAACGTTTGCTTGGTGACCAGTTACGAATCACGCATACTGTCGTCGTACGTAGGTGTCTTCGTGCACAAAAACGGGTTGTTGAGTATTTTGTGGTGGAAACTGAGGCTGCCCCAAAGCAATGCCTTGACTTGGAGCAGGATTCCCCCACAAAGGGCTATTGTTTTTTGCCAAATTTAAAGTGAGATAATAGACTATTGCCAATAAAACACTTGCAAGCGACAGAATAGCGCCTCCAGCAAAAACTCCGGGTTTCACGACATAGCAGTAATAGTAGTAGTTACCGAAGTACATGGTCCCTCCACCGTGCTGGTCATTAAGGGCAGCACCAGTCAGCAACAACAAGAAGGCTATAATAAAACTGAACCTGAGAATGCAGCATGAAATTCTACGTCATGATACAAAGTAATGGTGTACAAACAAAACTGCGACCCAAATTTCCCAGAAATGTGTAGGATCCTGTACTAAACTTAAAGCTGTTCTATAGCAAACAAAAACATCATTCATAGCCAGTGCTGACTTGAGAGAAGAGATAGAGAGGAGGGATAAGAGTAAAATGACTGCTTCTAAAGTAAATATGTTTTATCTCTGGCCACAGCTTCATCATCAATGGCATCCCCCCAACACACGGAGGTGCAATACCTTCTTCGAAATAATAGGATGACCAACAATAGCCACTCCAACGCGAGAGCTGCCCCTCATGGTCGTGGTAAAGATTAAGGATGTTTGGATATACCCTTAAGGTTCTAGGTCCAAACCCCAAGTGGAAAACTAAGGTTAAACTACAAGTTTAGTTATGAGATTTCAAGGTTGGGCTTAATAGGTCTACTTTCAACTTTGTTTCTAATAAGGCTAAGTTAAAATATCTATTAGGTCCTTGAACTTTTAATTTTGTTTCTAATAAGTTCTTGGCCTATTCATTAACACACAAAATTGAAAGTTCAAGTACCTATTAGACATTTTAAAGTTCAATGATCAATTAGACACAAAATTAAAAAGCTTAAAGACATGTTAGACACTTTTTAAAGTTCATGAACCTATTTGCGTGAGACTAGTGGGGTGAGCCAGCATAACACAAGGAATGGAGTTCAATGTACAGTCCTTCCTTGAGTAACCTATACAAGAAACATCCAAGTTTTTATCTTCTTGTAGCAAATTTTAACAATTATATTTTTTTTTACAGCTTTGAGATAGGAAGCATCTTAATTCTTAAACTAAAATTACTCTGATGGCATGGCAAGTCCACAGAAAAATTGCAAGTTATTGCACTCTGCAGAACACGAAATAAAATATTGAATTATAGTATTACATCTGCTTTAGTTAAAGCAACATATATATTATGCCATCAAAGGCCTGTGAAGCCGCCTTTTTCATTTTATTGCATTCCAAGTCTTAAAAAAAGATTAAAGCAATCATTAGTGCAATTTTTTTCTTCATAAGAACTATTTCATTGATGAAATGAAACCTACAAAACAGCGGCCCTAGAGAACTAAAAAAAAAAAGACTTCCCATTAATGGAAATGGAGCTATAGCTGTAATTATACAAAGGCTTACAGCATTTACACCAAGAAGCAATAACAAAAATATAAGCTCGCCCAAGATCTTAAAAGATTTGTCTTTGCTCCCACACTATTCTTTCTAATCCTTTCTAACCACAAGAACTTGAAAGGTTTTTTTCTTATCCCACAAATTCTTTCTATTCTATAAAGACCGAACAAAAGCTCTCAAGAACTAATGTGAAACAATGTTAGCTTCTTTTTTGAATGGATGCTAGGAAAAGTGAGATCGAGCAGAGCATTGCTTTCATTTGGAGAAGGGATGGTCCAGCCAAGATAACTGAAAATACTACTCCAAAATCAAGACGCCATAGAACCAGTAGAGAAAATTAGATGCTTCCCAATAAAAGGAAACATGACCTACAACAACATTTACCCATGGGGAGCTTGGAGTTTTGAAAAGGTGTCCCCTGAATGACAATGTGGCCCAACGACAATCCAAGAGTAGCCTTAGTGGGTTTTTAATTTCTAGGAGCGATTGGCGTGAGATGGACAAATGGCCTATTGCCTATTTGGGCCGCCCGCTTTATGAGAATCATTGTTCTCTTGGGTTTTGGTCCCCCGTTATTGAGAAAGTTGAGAAGAGGCTGTCTGGGTGGCAAAATACTTGCATGTCCAAAAGAGTTAGACTTAACGCTCATTCAAGACACACTTTATAACCTTCCCATTGATTATTTATCTTTGTTTCTAGTGTAACCAATTTAGGAAAGAATTATATTTACTGATGATCGCCCAAAAGAGAGTACAACAACCCTCTCCTTTTTTTGTTTTTTTAATAAAAAAAGAAACTTAATTTTCGTTACCAAAAGGAGAGAACAAAAGGGAGAGATGAGATATCCTCACGAGTGGGTATCATATCCGTGTTGTGTCATATCCGTGTCTTGTATCCATATCCATGCTTCTTATATAAGAAGACCTAGGTTGCACATATTCAGCTTAACTTAATAGAATATTTGAAAGATCTCCATAGATTTCCATCTCTCCAAATTGGTGCTCTATTTGTAAGCAGCAGAATCTCAGAAGCACCTTTTCATCACTAGTTCATTTTCTTCTGCATTCTGGTAGTTTATTTTGAAAGGCTTATTAATTGGTTTATTGCTCTTCCAGGGAGTACACACGAATTGCTTGCCACTGCTACAATTGGACATCCTTTCAAAAAGGAGAAGGAAGCTTTGTGGCTCAATTTCATTAGGGCCTTTTCTTGTGGTTTTTATGCAAGAAAGGAACTACCTAATCTTCGAAGAAAGAGAGAAAAGCTTTGACAGTTTTTTTTAAATCCTTATCTTTTTTGTTCTCACTTGGTGTAATGTAAGGGCACATGGGTCCATACATGTCACGAACTAAGTTGGACAATCTTATGTTGTGTCTCTCCCACATCCTAAATGAAAACACACCCACCTCCCAATCTGACATATGGACTTGGCCTCTTGATGCAACTGGTCCTTCTCCACAAAATCGGCATTCGGCACCCTCACTACCAATGCTTCCAACCAGCCTCCACCCTCTTCCCCGCATATGGCAAGGAAAATGCCCCAGAAAGGAAAAGTTTTTTTGCTGGGAACTTAGTCATGGGGCGATAAATACCCATGACAGGGTTCAAAGAACACACCCATACTTAGCTCTCTCTCCAAATTGATGTCTTTTTTGTTTTGGGGCACAAGGGACTCAAGGCCATCTCTTTATCCACTATTCATTTGCATCTCGTTTTTGGAACCATCTCCTCACTTCATTTAGATGGAAGATAGCCCTTCACAACAAGCCATCTATCTTTCTTGAACAATTCTTGGTGGGACACCCTTTCAAGAAGGAAGAGTAACTTTATGGGTTCAGTTTGTTCAAGCTTTTCTGTGGAAATTATGGTTCGAGAGGAACAATAGGGTCTTTAATGACAAAGCCCTTCCTTTTGACATCTTTTTTGATAGAGTTATATTACTAGCTCTTGGTTGGTGTAAATGTTTCTACCCCCTTTAATAGCTATTCTCTAAATGCTCTTATTACAAGTTGGCAAGCTTTCTTGTAAGTGCCTATATGGCTTTTTTTATATTTCATACCATCAATGAAATATTGTTTCTCATAAAAAAAAAAAAAAAATGTTGCCCTTATGGCAAGTGTTGTGTTAATACATGTCTCGACTTAGGGGAAGGCAAGACCCATCTTGGGGGTTTCCGACTTGGTGAAGAAGCAAGATAATAGTGGCCATGGGCAAAGGGAATTTGGTTAGATGACTAGGACTGAGAGCATTTAGAGTGAGGGGAAAGTTGGTTGGTTTGGACATATTGGTTATGTTGCTTTTATTTGGGAATAGAGAGAACTACAGGATGTCAGGATTTCTCAAAACTATCTTTCAAGTTGTTTTCTTGATTATTTGTATCTTGATTTCTTGCATTTCTTAACAAGAATAATTTCAATGCTTCACTCCTTAACAAGATTGTAGAAAGGATTAGCAAATAGCCTACAATCATGAGCCACCATCTGAAGCCAATAAATATCCACCCAATATTCCATGTTTCACATCTGAGAAAAGCACTGTGAACCTTATTGCCTGAGGCCAATTTCTTTGTTCACTCCTTATACTCCTCTCCTCTTCTTTTGTTGACTCTTCTCCTTCTCTTCTTTCTTTTCTTATGTAAAGTAATTATTAAAAAGAGGCTAAGCCTGCCTTCAACATGGCGCTTGCCTTGCCTCCTGGCAATGCTGCACCATGGCAAGTGCCTTGTTGAAGGTGCTCGTCATAGCTGACCTCGAGGTGCGAAGCTCAAATATCACCTCGCCTCAAGTATATAAATCACATAGACAAAAGCTCATAACTGTAGAATCACTGACAAAATATTTATGAAAAGAAAACGTGTTGGGCAGAAGTATACAAATACAAATAAAAGCACATCAGGATACCATAATTTCCAGCCATCTCAAAAGTGAGGCCCGGTATTAGCTCAAATTCACAACTCAAGCAATGGAATTTGACAAAATAATAAATTTTCTTTTTAAAAGAAACAGAGAACCAATAAATTCAAAAAAAGGAAACAAGGAACCAATAAATTGATGAATGGGCTTCGCTATCAGCCCTTCTGCTAACCTACTCACTAACGAATAGAGCTGATTTATGGCTTTGGGATCTTGAAAAAATGGCACTTTCACAACAAAAATCTTGACTCGACAGCTTGCATCAGGTTCGGTTCTCCCTATAGATGGCCTTTACAAACCTCTATGGAAGACCACATATCCAAAAAAAAGGGTAAATTTCTAAACTGGGAACTCGTCCACACATGCCTCAAGCTGCAAAGAAGATGTCCATGGTGGTCTATCCCCCCTTGTTGGTGCTGTCTGTGCAAGGCAAATTTTGAATCTCAAGCTCACATTTTCATGGATTGCCCCTCCTCATCGGCAATATGGAATCATTTATTCTCTATTTTTTGACGGAAGGTGGTCTTACCAAGCAACTTGAGAGATTGGTTGGCTTTAATTTTCCTTCATCACCCCTTGAAACAAGACAAGGCAACCGTGGCTACACCTCAACAAAGCTTTTATTTGGTCAATTAGGAGAGTGTTGAGATATCTCATATGTAAATTAGATTTACCCAACCATCTGCTTGAGCTTTTGGGTTGAGTGGTGATTTAATTATGTTTAATATGGTATCAGAGCGGGTGGTCCTGTGTTCGAATCCCTACATTGTTGTTTCCTTTCCATTTATATTCATTTTCACTTGTTGAGCCTTGAGCAAAATTTCAAGCCCACAAATGAGGGGGAGTGTTGAGATATATCATATATGAATTAAATTTACCGACCCATCAACTTAAGTTTTTAGGTTGAGTGGTGGTTTGATCATGTTTAACAGAGATAAAGGAACTTTAGGCTCTTCAATGACAAAGAAAACTCTTCATAACATGTGATAGAATCTATTTCTATTTTGGCAGCTTGAATTCTCTTATATCCAATTGGGAGAAGTTTTTTTGTAACTTCAGTAGATAGGGTTTAATCATTTTGTATAATTTCATAAATCATCAATAAAATTGTTTCCTATCAAAAACAAAAAAAGAAACAAGGACATCCTAAGGGCCGATTTGAAGGTCACCCCTAACAGGAACAAGAGTAAGGCCTTCCAATCATCCAAAATCACGAGGAGCCTGTAATTACAAAAGACATTCTTGTAGTTTGAACTCCATCAAGAAGCTCTATGGTGTGCACTATTCCACCAAAAAAAAAAAAACCCCTATAAAAATCTTCAAAAATCCATTTGTTTCTTTCTTTCCACACAATACATAAAACAGTTCTCACCACACAATTCCACAGCACCTTTGCTTTGTTTTTGAACCTATACCCACCAAACTTTCACTAATCCAGCTATCTATTAGATTTGGGTGGCAAATCCAAAGATCAACAAACTAATAATTTTTTCTCCAATTAGACAGATATGTGTAATAGTAAAAATTAAATGGAATGAGAATTTCATTACGTTGGTCCAGAGACGACTTACCATGAAATAACAAAGCTCAGGAGAGCTATTTTCCAATTCGGATTGGAAGGATTAGGACTTCGTTTGCAACAAATGCAACCACTAGAAACATTTACAATTAATTGTGCAATCAACAGAGAAATTGCGGAAGTTAAACCTAGACCCATGGCTGGACTTCGCGGATATGCACACTCAGATGTGGAAATAAACTGAACCTGAGAGCCCTGTTAGATAAATTGGAATCAAGGTTACTCCTCTTTATATATTCCGGAAACAAATTTAAAAACTAAAAACAATAAATAGTACCAAAAGAATAATAGGTAACTACACCATCTAAATAATCAGTTCAAAGATTAGACTGCAGTTTATGCAACCATTAACTGCAATCGTATATTACTTTTTCTTGGAAAAGAAACTACGGAAATCATAAAAATAACAGGTTCCCCAGGAAATTCCTGATCCATTCAACCTATCATACAAAGGACTAGAAAGAAAAAAAATTAATGAATTGAAGAAATAACCACTATGGTTAACATAATCACACAAAGTGTGATTCAGCTAACCCTTGTTTTCTTCTCATTATACCCAGATTGCAAATCAATATTTTCAAGAAAGTGTCTGGCCTTAATATTAACTACAAGTCAGAAATTCTTGGTCAAGTGGGGATGAAGATATATGAACAAACCCGATTATTTATGGAGGACAGTGATTAAAAGAAAATATCTCTATAGGAAAGACACATGGACTCCCCTGCGTGCAGTGCAAAATTGCTATAAAGGCCCCGGGATTTCCATTTTCCTTTGGACCTTTTGTTATAGAAGTTTAAACTAGGCAGAAAAACTTTTAAAGGAAATCCCCAAATGGACCCTTTCCCCCTCGATCTGCAGCTTGTGTTATAGACACAAGGAGTCCTCAGATCACCTCTTTCTTCATTGCCCGTTCACTTTGAAATGGTGGTTTCATTTGTTTCAAATTTTTGGGTTTTCAGCTTGCCTCTCAAATCGAATTGATGACTGAACAAACTTTTTGTTTCTTTCTTTCCATAAAAGTCAAAGGAGAACTCTAATAGCACAATTTCTCAACCTTGAAGCTGCCAATAAAGGTAATAAGCTCGAGGAATGAAAAGACTTTTGGAAAAACAAGACGCAGCCATTAAAGACTCTACCCCAACACGATGGAATAAAAACTTCAAAACTTGCTGGTTGAAAACTGAGATGGTGCATTAAGAAAACTGTGAACTTACAACTTCTAAAAAGAAACCAAAGGAAATTCAAAGTTAATCATTGAATGTCAAAGCCTGCAATTTATCTAAAGAGCTTTTCTTTATGTGGGCATTGGTTTACAATAATACAAGGTTCTAAGGTGATTGTAGTTACCATACATAGGCTACTGGAATTTAATTTAAGAGAAATGAAGTTACAGAAGAAAAGGCCTCAACCAAATACAAGGGGAATTTCATTAATGAATTCACAACAATTCCCAACCTAAGTTCTCCACTTATAACCACAACCTTTTGCCCACAAGATCTTGAACAAGCACCAATTCACATGATCATATGCTTTTCCAAAATCAAAACTAAAGACAATCCCTCTTGAACTTGATACGCCTTACAGTCCTCAATTCCCTCAATAGCGACAAGGATATCATTAAGGATTTGTCTTCTGATAGAACTCGAACAACAAGAAATATATTGAAATATAAAAGATAAAAGAACAACAACAACAACTTCCAAGTAATTCGAGGTACTTGGACCCCCCCTCTTTTGAGTCTTGAGTATTCTTACTTAAGCAACCATACTAACCAATTGCCTACCTTCATCCTTTCCCCCTCACTCTATTTATAACCATCCTAACAACTTTCCTAACCAATTATTAATATACCCTTAATATCAAAATAATATCCCCAATTGTATCCAAATAGCAGTTCTATCAATAATAATCTCCCTAATCCCACCACAAAGACACCTGATTAGACGAATAAGAGGAGGCCAGCATCCTCTACATTCTCTCAACTAACTAATATTTTAGAGATAATAGATGATCTTATACAACGTAATCCTGAAATAGATAGGTCTAAAATCTTCCACTCTACATCCATCCAATTTTGTGCGAAGACGAAGAAGACAAATGAAAATTCTGTTCATAGCAAAACCATGATCAAATAATTCATGGAACATCCTAAGCAAGTCCAACTTAATGACCTCCTAAATATCCTAAAAGAAAGCAAATGAGAAATGATCCAAGGCCTTATTGTCCTCAAAACTAAGGGTGAGTTTGGCATGTCTATTAGTTTAAGCACTTTTTTTGGATAATCATCTCTTAAGTGCTTAAACTACAAGATTGTCAATTACTTTAAAGTTACTTTTTAGATAACCATCTTTCAAATGTTTTTTCGAAAAGTATTTTTAAGGTAATCTAATTTTTTTTAAATGCTTTTTATTTATTACCAAACACTGTAGATTTAGAAAAAGAAACACTAAAATCAATTAGAAAGCTATACTAACCACGTTATAAATTAGTAATTTTCCCAAGTACTTACAGAAAAAGTGCTTTTATTTAGAAAATACTTTTCAAAAGCTATCTCAAACTCACACCAAACAATACTTTCTTAACTTCTTCAAGGGAGAAAGGTCTATTTAGACTATTTCCGTTGTTAGCCCCAATTGGCTACCAGTCCGAGCCATCAAAAAAAGGCATAAGGCTTCAAGGAGGAGCACAGAGGGAGCCATTTGGTGGGTGCTTCTTGTTGACTCCTAGAGGGAGTCATGTTACTTTTGTTGATCAACCAATCTTTCATTTGTCAGTGAAAAGTTGTTTCTTCATAAACAAAAAAGTTATAAAAAAGGTATTCAATCTTTTCAAGATCAAAGTCCAAAGAAAGAAGCCAAGTTTTGAAAAGATCCCTTTAAGAAACTACAAAAAATGCGAAGGACCAAAAATATAAATCAGGGATCAAACAATAGGATAGGGAGTTAAAGAAGAATTTGTATGAAAATGAATCGTTTCAAAACCTTACACCACACTCTCATGTCAGACAGGAGGATTGAGCTTCACATCATGAACGTAAACAATAGTCATGATTGAAGAAAACTCAGCAACATGATCCATGCAATGAGGGGAAAAAAAATACTCAATAGTTAAGGTGAGCCCCAAAAAAAAACACATGAATTAAGATATGAAAAAGGCAAGGGAGATGATCTTGAATAATAGTACAATACCCTAAACAATTTTTTTTACCATTGGTGTCATTATCATCATCTAAAGCCAAATTCACACAAGGGGCATATAAACCTAATGCTTGAGAAACAATTACTCAAGGACAACAAGGAGTTCCAATCCAAAGAACCAGTCTCACAACCATTATTATGAACTCCATATATACTCTTTTCGTTTTCTACAAATTGTGGGTGTCTTGACCAACTTAAACATACTTGATAAATCCCACGAAACTTCCTGCTGTAACATCCTGTGTCAAGCAACTCATAGGACATTTTATATTCAGGGTCAACTAACTATTGGGAGTTTCCACTTCCTCCTTTCTAAATCCAGAAAAAATGGGACATTTTACAACTCAAATTTCTTAATTCCTTATACTTCAGTCTCTCCAAGCTTAAAGAAAAAGAAAAAGGAAAAGGTAACATTGATCTTAAGTACCAATCGGAATCAGGAGATATATGTTGATTCAGTGAGAAACTATTGACAAACATGAAAAAAACTGAAATGGTAGTATTAATATTGAAGTTACGAATAACGAAACAACAATTGCAACTGTTCCAATGAGATACATTGGCTTCTAAAGTTCTCAAAACTTCCCCTCTGCTCTGTAATTTCAGCAGCCAAGAGAAGAGAATGGAAAGGAAATGCAAGAGAAACCCACAAATATAGAACCAAATGCAAGTGAAAAATCCAATGTAAGAGGCCAAATGAGAGAAAACCAAAGATTAATTGAAGCAGGAATCATAAGAAGAAAAAAATCACCTTGATTCTGGTAGCTTCAGCAACAAAACCAGTAGCAGCTGATAAGATTCCCAATAAACCCACAACAGAACACACCACTAAAACCCTTCTCTCCATCCCTCTCTCTCTCTCTCTCTCTCTCTCTCTCTAATTTGGAGGAGAACTCTTTTACAGATGCGCTCTCTGTGAAGTCTCTTCACCCCCACTTCTTTTTTCTTGTTTTTTGGGTTTTGTTTTGGTTGCTTTTTGGTGTATTGCCCAATCTTTGGGTGTTGGCCTAAAGCAGTAGCGCGAAAACGTAAAGGTGGTGTGGTGGTGTCGCTTGGTTATGAGTCTTATGATGTCCCAAAGAGATGATCACTCTGCAAAACTTTGAAAGCTGACACTTTTTCTCCTTTTCCTGTTTTGGTATTCTTCTTTCCCAATATAAGAGTATCACGTTAAAACTTAAAATACCATGATTTTACTGTAATTTTAAACTTGTTCTAGTTTTCTGTTTAGTTTCTTCCACTGCGGAATCGAAATGAAAGTAAAAATGTTTCCCCAGTGAAAATGAGATGATCTTTCACGCTGTTTGTTAGAAATTTTCTGAAATCATAATAAAAAAATATATTGTTTACTAAAACTTTCAATAATCGAAATAAGAATGGGATAGGTAACAATTATTAGAATATCATTTTTTTTTTCATGTTTGAGTATTATTTCTAACTAAATAGTGTAGTACTATAATTTTTAATTAAAGCAACAATTTATTTTATTACTATCTTGCTGAAAGTAATATTTTTTTTTATTTTAACAATTTATTTAGTATTTTAATAAATAATAAATAGTTAACATAGAATTACATCAACTAGAGAGGTTGATATAATTAAAACAACCATCATTAATATCATAATTTTTTTAAAATTTTTTAATAATATATACTTCATTGGCCCAAGTGAGTAAATCTCAAATTTACCCATTGGCCCAAATCACGGAGGGCCAATAGTCGCGTTGGATTCAATTTCTCTCAGTTTTTCACTGATATATACTTCATATACCTCAAATTTACCACTGATATCTTACTGATATACAATTGATTTACTATTGATATAACTATGATATTTATTAATATAACTTCTTAAATAAGTATATGATTTACCATTCATTAATTTATCACTAATATATGTCTGATATATACTTAATATACTTTATATACCACTAATGTACCACTGATACACTTATATAATTTCTTATATGATTATATGATTTACTGATTACTATGATATCAATATTTACTTATATAACTTCTGATATGATTATAGTTTTACCCTTGATTTACCACTGATATAACATTTATATTCGTCTTATATATATTTGATATACCTCTAATTAACCATTTATATACCTCTGATATAACTATGATATCTACTGATATAAATATAATATCTGTGCATTGATATATATGCTTTTGATATGATTATATGATGTACCATTGATTTACTATTAATTTACCACTTGTATATCATTCCTGATATACCAATAATTTAAAATATATTATTTCAAATATTTGTTTTGATATACTACTAATTTTTTTTCAAATGAAAACAAGGTTGCAAACAAGGAAAATGAAATCTAAAGTTATTGCAGAAAGGTTGATATGGACCATGCCAAAGGTCTTGTCTTTACAAAAACGGGAAGCAACAAAGATATCGCCTCCTAGAATACGATAATCACCAAGAAAGATGGATGACTGATCATGATCGACTTGAAGAATTTTCATCAATGAAAACTTGTCTTCTTTTAGAACTTTAAATTCCTCCTACCTATTATTAATATAGCTTTGATATATGACTGTGCATAATTGATACCTTTGATATATCACTAATATACTGTTGATATTACTACGATATCTACTAATAAATAATGAATTAGTGGCCAATATTAAAACTTAAAATTCATTTCTCTTGAAAGATAAAAAACATATATTTCAAATAGGAAACATTGGTTTCTAAATGCTTAGTGTATAAATATTTGTACAGAGGAGACAAAAAATTCATCAATAAAAAATCATATTCCTTTTGCGAATAAAAAGAAACAATTACAAACCGTAGATTACAAACAATTACAAACTGGTACGAAAAACTATGAAATTCTGAAAAATCGAATTCTAGATTGCAAAGAAAGAAGAATTCAATGATGAACATACGCCACAAAATACGACACCCTTGAACCCCCTTCTGTTCAGTTCATCCCAATCAATGTACTCACATCAGGCGAGGGAGCGTCAAGTAATAATAGGTGCATAAGAAACAATGCCGTCTATATTCAATAATGAATAGAGAATTAGTGAGAAGAAGGCCTCAAACAGGAAAGTGGAAGTTGGTGGTTGGAAGGGCATAGGGGATTAGAGATGGGCCATGGTGGTTAAAGCCATGCTCCTCCTTGGCGTCGTTGAGTAGCTGGACGAACAAAAGATGGGGGATGAGGAACCGCTGCTCGCCTTGTTGACCCACCAGAATCGCCACGCACCCCTTGGATCCAGACATTTGCTCATATAATCTTATTAAAGAAGGAGCCATTTTCATTGTAACGGTGCCTGCTGTTAAAATTAAGTCTGTCTATTTAGGACTAGATCTTGGAGTCAGTCCATAACGATAAAAGTCGAATCGTCTTGACCAATTTGAAAGATCATTTGATGTAGTTGAAGCGTCTAGTGGTTCAAAACATCTCTCTTCCAAGGAGGCAGCAGGGATTCGACTTCCCTTGGAGGTAGGGTACCACGAAAGGAATTTAGATCATGGATTATGAATAAGCTTGGAATTGATTCCTCTCGGGTCGATGCACGAGCGATTAATGGGGACGAACTGTAAATTCATTGGTAATATGTCTACGCTGGTTCAAATCTAGCTCGGTCCAAATTAATTACTTTTACCCTACAAATAATTTGAGACCTAATGGGGATACAAAGAAATTACTACTTGATAAAATTTGATAGTGAACGCTAATATAATTTTGACATGTTTTCTTTTACTCACGACCTTTTGGTCGGAGAGAGATGCTTCAACAAGTTGAGCTATGTTTAGATCAACCATAAAAAAAGACGTTTATCACATGTTGTGCAGAAATCAAACATGATATTATTAACATGTGTAATTTGGAAATTTTGGACAAGAGGATTCATAAAATTGAAGGGTTAAATAAATGGGAGAAGTACCTAAGAAGAGAAGCATATATGATATGATCTGAGTGACAAGTTTATTATATCACTGAAGGCCATAAACAAGCAATGCTCCAACAGCAGCAATGCCAGCAACCAGACCAGCAATGACACTAATTGGAGGCAAACCTCCTCCTATTGCTTTTCCTGTGTTCACGTCATATTTTGCAAACCTCTTCTTTGGAGCTATACATTGAGGGCATGCATATCCATCCGGCTGCACCATATCCAAAAGCTACCAATTCAGAACCATACGATCCTAACCATATGCTTCAAAAATAAACTTCAACCACTCATTGTTTCATAGATATATATCTCTGACTCGACCTCATCGAATAGTATGTGGCCCGAGTTACCCAACCCTAGCTTGAGTCTATAGCAAGCTTGGCCCAAACCTAGTCCGAAATTTATGTTTAGTCTTTGACCCGTTCTTATATTAGATTGGATACATATATATCCAATACGTGACAGTAATTCACATCACTAGTGACCAGGTTTGTGTATATCATTATTCAGGTTAATTTTAGATAGTAGAATATATCATAAATAACAATCGGTTTAGGCACTATTTTGGTTCTTGTACTTTCAGTTTTTGCTCATTTTGATTCATGTACTTTCAAAACATTCATTTTGGTCAATGTAATTCAAACTTGTGTTCATTTTAGTTCTTAAAATTTCTGTTATGGTCTCTATACTGATAACAAAGTGTAATTTTGGTTTCTATTTACAAAATTTTAAAATAAAATTTAACCACAATAGAAACACTTTTAATTCAATTAGATTCTTACATTTCAAGATATTATATTTTGTGAATGGAGTGTCATGCTAAAATTGTAATTGAAAGAAATGAGATAAAAATGAAAACGAAAGGATGAAAATGGTTACATCTTAAAAGTAATTAGATCGAAACGGACATTTTAAAAATACGGGAGACGAGAATGAACAAAAGTTGAAAATAAAGGATAAAAAGGACCAAAATAAACAAAAACAAACAAAAACATCCGAGGATAAGATAAAATTGGAGAAACAATAGATGGGCGTACCTGCTCATCGAAAGGTTTGGATAAGGTGTAAATGTATCCGCAATCCAAACATATATGAGTTGCTTTAGCCTGCAAAACATGGGAGTGCAATCTGGTTGTGATATGTTCTTAAATCAAAGAGATCAGATATATATATATATTTTTAAATTACTTATATAGTTACATATCATAGTGATTTTGAAAATCACTCTAATGTTTAAATCCTAAAACTTTGTGGATGTATTTGAGAGTGATTTTAGCATTATCATTGTCAAATCAGTTACTTTTCTATTAATCATATTTGATAAATTAGAAAATTGATTTTAGAAAGACTTAATATCATTTTAAATTAATTTTTAAAGTATCCCTGAGATGATTTTGAAAAATCAATTATACTTAAATCTCTTATTTCAAAATCACTCTCAAACACACCCTTAACACGGGTTGACGAATGGGAAACTCCCAAACATGCCTTAAATCTACTACAAGCCTACAGTGTGATAAAGCCTACAGTGTGATAGTTAAGTGATGCTTGCCTTTTGTGATTCAGTAAGTTTTCTTCCAAAGCGGGGAGGCGCAGGCCGCTTCGGCAGCCGTTTAACATCTACCTCAGCTCCTCTACATTAAGAGAAAAGAACTTCTCAAATTACAACATCTTATTTTACAGGTGAAGGGAGAAGGAGAAATTAGAACCTGCTAACGACAAAGTAGACAGAATCAGGCTTGGCTTGGATGGCAGTTTTGGTGAATCCGAGCTTATCTGCGGGCCACAATTCATCACCAAAGAAACTGCTTGTGTATAGAACCTGGTCTCCGGCTTTTAGCCCTGCTTTTGCTGCATTCCCTCCCCCATCCACTGCCTAATTTAGTAATACATACATAGCCCCAACACAATCAATTTACAAACAAAAAGTGGAAGCGAGGCCTAATTTTGAACATGTAATTGTAAGAAAAAGAAGGAACTGACAGTGATGACGACTCCACCGGCGGGTTTCTGGCCCAAAGTGAGGCCCAAGGGCTTATCCACTTCAACCTCGATCGTCTTGGAAGCTCCGGCGGTTTTAGCGGACCGAATCTGGAGCCCCCTCCGCGGCTTACCGGAGAAATCTCCATTCTCGGCGACGAACCAATGGGACACCAAAACCCCCTTCTTGGCCTCCTGAACCGAGACCCCATGGAAAGCGCTTTTCTGGACACACAAAAAACGCAATCACGCCACAAAGCGAAAGCGGTTTCGATTTGGTTCTGTGGAGAGTGAGAGTGAGAGTGATACCTGAGGGTGGGGCGGGGCGGCGGAGGCAGAGGGTTTGGGAGATGGAAACCGGGGAGCTCCGATGGAGGTTCTGGCGAAGGCGGAGGAACCTGCAACCACGGCGGATGACATTTTTTGGGACTGGGAGAGAGAAAAGAAGCGGTTGCGGTGGAGATGTGGAGATTGGGGGATTCATTATGTGGTGGACTTGGACACACCCACTCCAAATGCTGTCCACTGCCTTCTTCCCCTCGCTCGTACCTTTTTTTTTTTTTTTTTCTGTGTCCAACTCTTGGATAAATGGTCCATATCATCAATACATGGCTGCAGTTGCCATCCAACGTGTGCCAGTAGCAAGTCTACGTGTCAAATTTTAATATATAATTTAAGTAATTATTGATATCGTCGAATGGATGTCTCATGAAGTAATTTTAATGTGCTTGATTTCTCCCCTTTTTCCGTTAGTTTTGCTATACTACTTGCTACTCTTAACTAATTGTCCCCCTTTTCCAACTTTTCCAAGAGTGATTTTTGTATTATGTATGGTCGTTATTGAAATAGATTCTTCTTTTATATCCATCAAAATCTCTTCCCAAATTGTACAAGCTTTTTGTAAAGTGTGTGACTTTCTGATATCTATCTGACTTGAGTACCACACGTATAATTACTTAATTTTATTTAGAAAATCGAATCAAATGAGATAATATATCAAAGTAAATAGACATATAATAGTTAAATTAAAAAGTCAATAGGAAAAAAGATAATCGAAAATTGATTTCACCTGTTACTCTATGAACCAATTAATTAATTACTAACCTTGAATGAACTATTAATTTTATAGGTCAAGAAATCTCAATTGCCTCCCCTCGTGTGGAAGTTAATTCTCTTTACTTAATTAATAAACCAATATTTCTATTTAGTTTCAATAATAAGTAAAAAGGTTTTATTGAATAAGTATTTTAACTACCTCTAATAACAATCAATCTATATACCCAGTAGATTAAGGCATTGAGTATAGTTCAAATACATGCAATCAAGAAAACTAAATAATCAATCTATAAAGTTTGATGACTATATCAATCTCTAAGATATCACAAGAGTTTAACTACTCATATTCAAAGTAAAACAATAAAATCCCACGAGGCATACCAACATAAATGGCTACCTCGACGACATACTCTTGCTAAACCCACAAGAACCATCTTCGTACTATTGCCATTGAAAGGCAAAATCTTCCATAATTAAAAGAAAGAAATGATATATAGTTACTTCGATTCAAAATGTAATACATATCACATATATTGTTCTATCATTATTATATTACTGCATTCACATGACAAACGTAACGCATTACAAAGTATTTGTGACAACCAGTTGAAACCATTGAGCCTGAGTGTCATGTAGGCAACTTGAGTCGTCCCCAACACAAATACACCTGCCCATCACAATCCTTGTTGAATTTGAGCTCTCTCTCTCCAAACACAAATTACCATTACCATTCCCATTTGGAGCCAATGTGGCCAAATGAAGCTTTGAGTCAGAAATGGCTCTCCAACCACTGTGTTTATACAGGCACTCAGTTGACAGCGATGGCTTAAGGCCATATCCACTTGCTCTTAGGCATAAACCACTATCCTTCAACCTGATTGGCGTCCCATCTCCTTCATGGCTCCATTGGCTTGCATGGGAGCAGTTGTTCATATAGATTTCCTTACTATTGCCTTCCGCTTGGACACATTGCCCACTTTGTGGATGATACATTAGGTAAGAGTTTGGTGAATACGAATTTGGATCTGCATGCATAAAGTTAAAAATGAGAGCTCTAAATAATTCAACAAATACTTTAACTTTAAGCTATCACTAAACCTTCAAACTTAAGATTTATATATAGGTTATAACAGATCGGTTAAAATACGTACAATTTTGATCCATATACTTTTAAACTTATTTCAAATAATATTGAGACATTAACATTGTGCCCCTTTAGTTTTTGTCCAAGTAAAATGGAACCACCATCAAACTCAAATGAAGACTATTTGTAAAATTTATTAAAAGTACTTAAACTAAAATGATATTTTAACCACACACATATATATACCACACACATACATATACATACATATATATATTCTTAAACACTGTTTCCATATATGGGTACTCTAATATTAATTAATTCGATTAATGAAGCTCAACATAATTAATAATACATTACGAAAGAAATATTATTTCAAAGTATTCTGTCAACCTTTGATTAGAGTACTTATCTATAACAAAAAGATCGTGAGTTTGATATTGTAAAAGTTCAAATACAAAATCTCGAATATCCAATTAAATTAACATCAAACTAAAAGTTTAAACTTATTAAAATATAACAATCATTATTTACAAAAAAAACCAAGAATTTAGTTAATTATATTTTAAGGATACCATATCTTGCAACATGGTTTGCAACCAAGCACCAAATTGGTCGGTACATATAGTCCAAAACTAACGTTTTGAGAGTGTAAAAGTCAAAATAAACAAAAATTAAAACTAAAGACCATGTTTTAAAAGTAAATGAACCAAAATAGAGACAATTGAATTAGATTTCAGGAAGACATACCTTGCAACATGGTTTGCAAGAGCTGAAACCTCTGAGAAAACCTAGGGTTTCTGACACCACTCCAATCATAATTCAAGACCCCAAACACTTCCCTAGGCCGAGCCTGCCCCTGCCTATAATAATAACTCCCTTGCCATCCCCACACCGCCCAGTCCAAATCCATCCTCGCCAGATAAGCCCCAAAGCAGCTCATAAACCTGTCATCAGCCTCATTCCCACTCTCCCTCTGGTCCATCCCAAACTCACTCACCAGCAAAGGCACTGCCCTTTCCCCTTCCACCACGAACCCAGCCCTCTCCACGAACCCATTCATCACCTTGGAGCAGATTTTGTTGAGTGGGTTCTGGGTGAACTTTGCTTGGGAGTCCCCACTGAAGGAATATAAGTGCACCTCCAACACTAGCTTGTTGTGGAGGTTGCCTAGGGGTAAGGGGGCTTGGGTTTGGCATCTTAAGTCGTTGTCGTAGTTTAGGCCCGAGATGATCACGAGGGCATTTGGGTTTATGGTGTGGATCGCTCTTGCACCTCGTGTTATGTGCTTGTTCCAATCTTTCGGGTTTGATCTTGCTCCTCGGAGTTCGTTTCGTAGACTCATGCCCACCACCTGTGTTGTTCAAATCAAATGGATTATTATTTCTATACAATTGTGGTATGTTTCTGACTGTATCTTCTTTTAAAGAGGTAACATGCGTCTTATCTATTGAGTTACATGTTCATATTGACATAATGATAATAATTTATGTGTTGGATTTTTGGTTCATCTCATTATTATGAGATATCGAATAACTACCGAGATGATAAAACATTTAATTTATTGAAGACTATGGATGGGTTATATTTATTTAGCATTGTAAAAAATCATATTTACAATGACTTATATTTTATATAAAAATGTGTGTATTTGTATGTTATAGTTACTAGGTACCTCTACAAAATTAATTAAAAAGGGTTCAATAGGTACTTCTTGATTTGTTGTGAAAGTAAAAAGGGTTGAATATGTACTTACACTTGATTTGTTGTGAAAGTGTCGAGCTACTAAACGAAGACCTTCCAACCATTCTTCTGGGTCAAAATAACGATCTCCAAAGAAACCATTTCCATCGTCAAGAGAGCAGCACCATCTTGGTTGGCTAATATGATTGTCAGCAATCACCATCAAACCACTTGCACCAAGCACATCAACTGCAGCTTCATATGCTTCGAAAATGGTCATGTTCAAAACAAACGGATTATGCAAAGCCAACCCGGCCTTGGAAGCTTTCAGATCAAGAAGGTCAAAGTTCTCTTCAATCGTCCTATTAGCATAGCGAGTAAACATATGAGTAGCGTACGTGAGTCGAACACAATTGAACCTCAACCTAACCGCCTCATCAGCAAGGTCTTTCAACGGCCTGCGGTCAAGCCCTTCAATAAGCATGCTCTGCGTGTGGGAAGGCCAATTCACGCACACAAGCTTCACACGACGTCCGGTGGCCGAATCCACAATCCATCTCCCTCTAGTTGAAAGAGGCAATGAATACGAAAGAGAAGATAACAGAGAGATCAAAGCTAAAAACACAAAGGTTTCCTTAGTGCTTCCCATCGATTTAGTTTCCATGAAGGAGAAGAGCTATTCCAAACAATCTTTATAGTGCTGAGAAGCTTTCTTTTTGTTGTCAAAATGAAAAACCGAAGTTAAATCATGTGGAGGTTGTTGGCCAACTTCGTCTTGGGAATTTAAAAACTCAACAGGCTCTTTCTGCATTGAGGACCATAAATAGTCTTTAACTTGGTTTTGCCTTATTAAATGAACATACATTCCACAAAGTTTCTCAGAAAATTTGAGGTCATTCTGCTTCGAAAGGACCAAATTTAAATGGGTTAAAAACTCCACCATAACCCAATGAAAATCGAATGCAATTTAAACTCTACTAAATAATTTTGGATGAGTAATGTTGTTTACAATTTGGATAAACTAATTAATATATAATGTGTCCATGTCAATGTAGGTAGCCCATTATGTCCTATTAATTCAAAAGTTAAGACCGGTAATTGAAAACTTCTATAAATTTGGAGACTATTAGATATAATTCTATCGAGACCTCTTTGAATTGGATTGATGTCTTGAAGTTGTGTACGCTTCAAATGTCTTGAAGTTCGTATGTTTTAGATGTCTTGAAATTTTGAATACTTCAGTTGCTTTCAACTAGATATGTATGTACACATCTTCAAGTATTTTTGGTCTTTAAAGTATTTTAGTCTCTGTTAAGAGTCTTCTTCTCATTTTTGAACTTCTGGACTCTTGAAATTAAGTGTAGCTCATCTATATATTTATAGAGTTTTTCACGAGCTTAATGGATATTGGGCTTGAATGATATTGATTCGAACTCACAATCTCTTGATTAAAGTTATATGCTAATTTATGCTCGCTTTGACCATCTTTATTCAATTATTAATACACTATTTGATATGAGTTAATTATCATGTAATCCAATCTAATTAGGTTATCTTGTATGATCAAGATATCACAAAGAAGACACGTGACCATTTATGACGTGGAATTTATCATTCAACAATTTAACTTATTTATTAAATCAATATAATCAAATTTAATTACCTCTGTTATTTTTAATTCCCCCGACACTTTTTAAATCAATATAATCAAATTTAATTTATTATAAAATAAAATATTTTTTTAAAAAATACAAATGTGCATTGTACATCAAGCAAATACGAAATTTAATGTAAGAGGGCTGAAATTTTAATTAAATATAATTTTAATTATATTATGTGAAATATATGTTTTGATACATAAATTTAAAAACACAAATAACTAACTATTAATCTCTACCAACCCAACCCACTATGTTTTTGTTTGGTAAAAAAAAAACTTAACTTTATAGATTAACGTTAGTTTGTTTTTAGAAAAAGTACGATTACTTAGATATAAAAATAAAAATAGGTATAGTTTGAAACCTGAAAGATTTAATGGAATTTTTTTTCTTTATTAGAATTATAGTCTAAATTGTATATACATGAAATATAAAAATAAGCATTATTTTAAACAAATAAAAAAAATGCGAAAATAGTATTTTAAACAAATAAAAAAAATTGAAAAGGTATTAAAAAAATAGATGAAGGCGGGGCTTGGATCTATGCACATGGTAACAAACTTAAACTAGTATTATTAAATGGTCAAAGCATACAAACAATAAGAAATATGCTTGAAATTATGTTGTGGTTCAACATTTTACAAGGAAACCAAACATTGAACATAGAAAATGAGATACAACGAAATAGTGATTACACCCTCCAAACACAAGGGATAAAGAGAGGATTGACACAACAACTTTTATAACAAATTTTATGTAACTTACATTATTTTAAAATGAACAATTACGATATAATTGAACAACCTTGAAGATAGCTTAAGTGATTCAACAATCACGGACGGGCGGACCAAGGACCGTAATTACCTCCGTGTGATTTATCAGGATTAGGTCCACCTCTCCATCGAAACAATGTGGTGGGGGCCTTGGAACCATGATCTGGATTGTTCAAGATCCTTGCTGCCCCATGGGTCGAAAGAAAAAGCATGAGATACAAGGAAATTACCAAAATGATTAAGTGCTTCTTATGGAAAGCCATTTCCAATAATTTGGCGATGCAAACTACTCGGGTTTCAGTTGGTATTTATAATATGTCAATAATGTAGGGAGGATGTATGTGTATCCGTAAACTATGGATCGCTCAATTTTCAAATGTATAGAAAATGTGGCATTGGGTCAACTATACAAAAATATCCAATTTAAAATAATTGAATTCTTTTTTATTTGGTTTAAAATTACGACACAATTAATTAAGAATTATCGTTAACTAAATTCATGACAGTTAGAAAATATGACAGTTTTTGAAAAATTGTCATTGTCATACATTCACAATTGAAAGTTAAAATATGTCAAGAGAAGGGATCTTCCACCGCAATTAAAACATGTCACACAAATTCATTTGAAATAATTGAATTCCTTTTATTTGGTTTAAACCTAACTTCTTATGGTCTCTAAATCTATTCAATTTTAGTTCCTAGATTTTCAAGAAAATTACACTTTTGATTATTGTTGTTATTTTTTTGTTAATGATTTAACATGTGGATACATAACTTTAATCAAGAGTGTATTACTCGATTTGCAATATTTAATTTACCTTGACCTGTATCGAAGCCGTATAGATTTAACCTCATATTTGAATTTTGACTTGTCTATATATCTAAAATATAAGTACCATATAATCAAACTTTGTCATGCTATTTTAACTCGAAATTAACTAGGATCACCGATTTGACTACCTATACTTTTGGTAATTATCTACGTCCACACTTATTCATCATACCACATGTATAATCAAGGTATTACATATCCGTCAACATGTTGACATTTTTATTGACATTTTCATATATACATGAATTCAATACCAACCTCAATGGTAGATCAACATTTCTATAGTATTGCAAAAAAATCGACAAAATACGAAAAATATCAACAAAATCTCACTATTATGGACATGATATTAATATAAATTATTTTTAACTTATTTAAAAATGATGAAATACTTATTTGTTACTTTGAATAGTTTTTACTCATTTTTTTTATTTTTATAACTTTTCTAGAAATATCTATTTTTATCGATATTTTTATAAAATTGAGATCTCGACATTTACTTCGACATCGACATTTAAAACCCTGATCCTATCACATGCACAACACACAAGCCATATCATCCATTTGTTATATGATTGATGGTAGAATAAAAACTAAAAGAAAAATAATTGTTTATTTTTTAAAATATTTTGGACTTTTCGTAAATAAATTTACCTTTTAAAAATTACAAATTTAATAAATTATTAAAGGGAATTGGTTTTTTTTTCTCTCTTGAGTTTGTGAAATATATTGTATAAAAGATATAATATTTCGAACATGCGTCAGTAATATTTTCAAACATACGGTAAACTCAGCGGTAATTAGCATATATCTCAAATTAGAAGGCTGTGAGTTTCATCCCCACCCTACATATTGTGCTAAAAAAATGTTTTCGAACATAATTGAATAATTTCATCTATGCTACCTTTGCATATTAAATAGTCATTGCATTAAAGTTGTTAAACATGATATATAATATAGTCAATTTCGTATTAGAAAGATTCCATGCATTGTTGAGGTGCTAGCATCATGGTTCCTTCCACTTATGTAATATTAAAAAAAATCAATATTTTATTAATTCAATGATGCTTCAAATATCGTCTCTAAAAAATGCCTCAAATATTATTGTGAATGAATAATGTTTCCAATTATAAAAAAATTAAGTTGACATTCTAGTCTCTATTGTTTGAGCTTACTTTTTCCTGGGTCCCTACGATCTTATAAGTTTCGTAAATCATGATTTGGTTAAATCTTCTAGAATGTCTTTGTCATATCCTATGTTGACAAATTTGTTACATGGTATACCAGTTTCATCATGATTCCTATGATTTGGTTAAATCTTCTAGAATGTCTTTGTCATTACCGAATGTTGACAAATTTATTACATGGTATACCATTCCTTGAATGTGGAAAAAAAGGGTTGACGAGGAAGCCTTCTTTATACTATTAGTGAAGTTTAAATTGACTAATTATATATTAATGAAGCTAACTACAAGCTAGTTTAATTTGCAGTGGGTAAAAAATAGATGAAATAAGATGTTTAAGTAAACTTAAATAAAATAAGTAGTTAATTTGAATATATCTCAATTGGTTAAGACATATATTATCGATCTAAAAGTCGAAAATTAGAACACTCTAATTTAAAAAAGAATAATGAAATAAGTTGCACAGAAAACAAGGTGGAATTTCAAATTAACCTTCTTCTTCGTTTTTTCCCTTCCCTCCTCAATCCCGAGTTATGATAAAGGTCTCTCTCCTCTCGAGTACAATATGTGGGGTGGAGGATCGAACTAACAACCTCTTGATTTGAGATATATGTCAATTACAGTTGAGGTATGCTCACTTTAACCTCTTGAATACTTTGTTTGACACAAGAATTCAAAGAAAATGATTTAAAATTTTAAAATTTGAAAAGATGAAAAATGATTTAAAATTCCTAAAATTTATTGATTAAAAATCCGTAAAAAATAAATTTTTTGTTTGGATGAATTTTTTTAGTCCAACAAGTGGGAGATTGGTGCTAATACCGCTGAGCTAATTAAGCTCATGTTACCGTTATACTCTTATAATTATATATAATTTTTTTAAAATAAAATAAAACCTCATATTTACATTTTCTTATTTTTTTGCTCTACCACAATTTTCACCACAATTTTCTTCTTCATCGTTTGACTCACGCGACATTTATGAATGAGGCAAAAATTGGAGTTTGTTTTCAAGAAGTAAGTTTTCATGCTCTTATTGAATGATAATAAAGTAGGATGTATTTTGTCATATATTGTTTTTGCCAACCTTTGTTCCAAGTACGAGTTTAATTTTTCCGACATTATTTTCGGGAATTATTTTATATTTTATCTCGTTTTGTTCTTCCTTTATTCTTATTATTAATTTTGTATTATTGTAGAAT